CTGACCGATATGGTTTTTCTCCTGACCGATATGGTTTCTCTCCTGACTAATATGGTTTCTCACATGATATTGCCAGTTTGTCTCTTACTCACACATATCACCTGTACATGGAGCATTCATTGCATCATTAGACACTATCTCTATCCCTAAGTGTTGGCAGGTTGTTAAAGGAGATCCGAAGTGGAAGGCAGCCATGCTAGAAGAGCTCGGTGCCCTCGACAAAAACAATACTTGGGAGCTTGTGTTACTACCACCAGGCAAGAAGGTTGTCGGATGCAAGTGAGTCTTCACAGTGAAACAGAATCCAAAGGGTCTGATTGAGCGCTACAAGGCTCGGTTGGTGGCAAAAGGGTACAGTCAGACCTATGGTATTGACTATGATGAGACCTTTATACCCGTGGCAAAGATGAGCACAGTAAGAACACTGATTTCCCTAGCAGCGAATGGTGGGTGGAAGTTACACCAACTTGATGTGAAGAACGCTTTCCTTCACGGTGATTTGTTGGAGGAGGTGTATATAGAGGTCTCACCGGGTTTTGGCACAAACCAGACGGTTGGTAAGGTGTGCAGGCTCACGAAGTCGCTGTATGAACTGAAACAGTCTCCTCGGGCATGGTTTGATAGGTTCAGGAAGGCCATGGTGTGTCTAGGCTACAAGCAGATCAATGCCGACCACACGGTGTTCTATCGGTAACAGGGTGGCCACATTACCATGCTTGCTGTGTACGTAGATGACATGATCATTACCGGGGATGATGAAGGGGAAATTGCACAGCTAAAGGCAAAGCTGGGGAAGGAGTTTGAGGTAAAGGATCTGGGACAGCTTAGATATTTCCTTGGGATTGAGGTGGCTCATGGAGCAGAGGGGGTTGTCCTATCTCAAAGGAAATATGTCCTAGACGTGCTCACAGAAACAGGGATGTTGGGGTGCAAGCCTGCTGTCTCTCCAATTGATCAGAAGTCCAAGCTGAGTGCAGAGGCAGGAGAATAGGTCGATCAAGAGAGGTACCAGAGATTGGTAGGTAGATTGATCTATCTGAGTCATACGCGTCCCGATATTTTATTTGCAGTGAGCGTGGTGAGCCGCTACATGCATGACCCTAGGAAGGACCATATAGATGCGGTGTATCAGATCTTGAGATACCTGAAGAGTGCACCTGGGAGGGGATTGATATTCAGGCAGAATGGGCACTTAAACATTGAGGGCTATTGTGACTCTGATTGGGCTAGTTATGCCGATGACAGGAAGTCCACATCGGGCTACTGCATGTTTGTAGGGGGCAACTTGGTCTTTTGGAAGAGCAAGAAACAGTCTGTTGCGAGATCTACGGCAGAAGCAGAGTATAGGACCATGGCCTTAGGAGTTGCCGAGATGTTATGGCTGAAAACTCTATTGGAAGAGCTCAAGGTGGACCAAGGGGCTCAAATGAAGTTGTGGTGCGACAACAAGTCCGCATCAGCATTGCCAACAATCCGATGCAGCATGACAGAACCAAGCACGTGGAGATTGATAGGTTCTTCATAAAGGAAAAGTTGAATAGTAGACTATTGGAGCTAAGTCATGTAGCTACTAGAGATCAAGTAGCTGACTGCCTCACCAAAGAACTTAGCTCAATAGATCTAGCTAGGTTATGTGACAAGATGGGCTTGATGGATATTTTTTGCCCATCTTGAGGGGGAGTGTTGAGATATGCAATTTGTAGAAAGATATGGGCTTGAATGTAAGATGTAACACCTTATATAGGCTCAAGAGGTCAATGAAAAAATTGACACTGATTTCATTTCTCTCCCAAAATTTCAATTGCTTCTAATCTCAAATCCTTCATGTTTATTTTAGGAGCTAATTCCATGTAAACTAATATGTTGTATTTCAAAAAACCAGGCTATATTCTTGCCCGATGCCCCGTTAGAAAGAGTTGCTTATTCTGGCTTCTTTATGGATTCCCAAATATGTTGCCTTGGAACGGGTTCACAACAGTACACCTTTTTCTTCCAAAAAAGGGGTTTCGACACAAGAGCATGGAAACCATGTACTATTAAGAAGTTATCTGCTAACAGTTTGCAGAAGAAAAGGTTAGCTTATATTTTAAGTTCCACATAAAGATCCACCTCAACTTCATATGCCAGTCATAATCAATCTAAGGTTGATGATAAGTTAACCAAAATGTGAATATTAATATCACAAGCTAATTTAAGTGCTAAGGTAATTGTCTTAAGCATTGCAAGAAAGTGATTGAACCTCTTGTGATGTCTGTCGTGATGCCTGTGAACTATCAGATGCCAATGTTCTCGTAAAACGAGGGAGCATGTACTGTTTTCCATATTGTCCTCGAAACATAAATGAACTACCTGTCAAATCAATCAGTCAGCGGAAGTCTAGGATGTGTAAGCACACCATATAGAAAGCAATATAGGTGATTGTGCTCAAATATGAAAAGAAAATGGGACCAATATACATCTTCTCAGAAAACCTTATAGTCCAATAAGGCAAAACTAATGGCAACAGCCACAGAAAAGTACATTTTAGTAAAGACCATCTAGTTCCAAAGGTTTATACAGCTAACCTTTAATGTTCCTTAAATCCTGCAATAAAAAAGAACCAAAGATCAGGCATTCTTCTCTAAAAGATTAAAAAAAGCTTAATTCTTTCATATTATACATTGATTGCACTACTCGAAAGAATTGGGCAGCTAGAGTGATCAGACTTGATGGCAACTCAGAAATATAGTTTAGTAGTAGATTGTCAATGGAGCACAAAACACTGCTAACCACAGAAAGTGGATAATAACTTTGTAGTTTGTACATAATAGAAGGTCCATTAAGAAAATCTCCTCTTGTCGCTAAATGACATCAGGTGTCTGTGTTTGGGTACATTCTAGCAGCATCATTTCCCACACATGTTAAGATGGGAATATGCAGATATCTACTTATTAGATTATTAGATCCACCAGCTGAAGCACAAATGAAGGATGATAATTGAACCACTACATTACTGATGTAAACTTTTATATCAATTCAAAAGAATATAGCTATTGCATGCAAATCTTGCACTGACATTGCTGAATTTGTTACAGACCTTGAGAAACTATAAAAGTTGCTCGATATAGATCGCTAAGGTCAGTCAAAGCTTAAGAAATTCCGATGTTTGGTGATCAAAGTTCATCATTTACACAAAATCCCCATCAAACGAAATAATACCAACATAGGCTGACGATATGGCCATGAAAGTCCCTGTGGGATCCTGGTCGTATATCATAGAAACTTTCATCATTTCTATAATGTGCGGCAACTAACCTTTTGGGAGTCCATGTAAGATAAACGTATTGGATATAAGAATTTAATAACTACAAGAATGGTATATAGATGTGTGCATGTCGTGTATATCCATGTGTCTCATTTGAATATATATGCCTGTGTGCATGCACGCATTTGCTTATGGATATACTATATAAATATTATGTGGTCCATACCTTAGCCGTGTTTGAAGAAAAGAAGCGCATTCCAACATTTGGATGCAAATCTGAAATCACATGTTGCACACAATTTTTAATAAGGGTCTTATTTGGCCACTCCAAGTTATAATTGAAAGAAAAAAGTAACTGTTGCATGAAATTTCACATAATACAACTGAAATAAAATAAACAATCAAAGCCGACTGCTCATCTTACATGAAAGAGAAGATCATATTTATCCATAAGAGTAAGGCTCTAAAATTTTGGCATTTGGTACTTTAAAACATTTCATTATTGATCATAATAAAATAAAATAAAAATCCAACAACAACGAACATCTAGGAGAATGATTTGATCAAATTTTGGCCCTAATTTTGTGCTTAGAACAATAGAAACAGTAGAAATCATAACAAAAATAACAAAAGAACCGAAATTTGCATACCAACATGTGCGGAATCCAAGGAATAATGATGGACTGGCCTCCGTAGAAGATTCCGAGCATTCTTAGTCTACAAAATCATAAATTTATAAAAAATCATAATCATTTCCAAAAATTCAGAAAAAAATGCGTTAAAAAAGGGGTTTTCGGGTGAGTTTCCAGTTACAACTAACAATCGTTTGAGAGAAAGAGGAAGTAGCTACCTGTTGATTTACAATGCTGATGCCACGACGCATCTCGTTTCAAAAACCCTAATTTTGAAGAGCTAACGAAAACTAGGGTTCAAGGATTTCGGGGGAGCGATGAATAAAATGAAGCGATCTCAACCTGGCACTCCGCGACTGCAACTGGATACGCGGAAACGGGTTTCGAACTCAAGATCCAAATGCAGACCCGAAACAGCAATTATGTCTTATCGGGCTTTGGGCACAACCAAAAACCGAAAGTTATTGGATTATCCGAAACCCGTATATGTTAAGCGTTAGCAAGTACTTGTGGATTTGATCAATTTTGCAGCCAATTTAAAGAGAGCAAAAGCTAAATTTGAAAAAAAAATAAAAAAATCACCTCATCAAATAACAATTTTTTAATTCAAATCTTGCCGTTGTCAACCAAACACCGGATTTACAATATAATGACATTTTTTTGCACAATAAAAATTACAAATAATGCATACATAAATTTTGATATTTTCAAAGGAAAATAAACCTTGGCACACATAATAACAACCATAACTATTGCGTGATTTGCGCACATAGAAATCAAATCTAGCCTCCCCACATTGAAGCGACGTGGCTTTGTCATGTGACCTACTGGGTTGCCCCTAAAAAATTTAGAGTTGATTTCTTGCAACAAGTAATTCATACAACAATTTTTTAAATAATTCGTACAACACTTGTTGCAATTTATTTTTGCAACAAATCGAACAGCCCCTTAGTGCATTTTAGGTACTTGATTATGCATAAAATTGTCAACTATTTTGTGAATCAGAACAATTCATCAATTTATTTGGATCCAAAAATCATTCACGCCGAACCCATTATCATACTTCATATCATATCATATCATGCTCCTTACAAAAGTTTGAACTTGGGGAAAACTTTCTACATACAAAAATACCATTGGTTTTTATAGATATCAAATTATTATCCTATCCTAATTAATATAAATTTAATTATCTATGATGATTAGTAAAGAGATAAAAATTTGTTATGCTATACTAATTGTTATAGGGTGTCCCCTATTCTCCACAAATATGCAACCCCGCAAGCCGACATCTTTACCCACCAAGCGGACCGGCTCAGAAGATATTGTTGGTCGACTCAAGGCATCTCGACCCCTCAACCGAGCCGACGCGATCTACCGACTCTGAAGGCAGTGTTAGACGGTACGAAATCAGCATTCCAGAGATTCAACACTCCTCGGAGTCGACCTGAAGGACAGTCGAGTCGTCACTCCCCCAGCCGAGTCGGCATCATTCCTCATAGGTGACTCGAGAGGCGGACTCAGTCGACCCTCTTCATATCAAAGGATTACTACTCAGCGTTAGCCGGCACTCCTCCCAATGACAATTTAGAATATCGCTTTTCAACATTTTTTAACCTTTGACGATCATCATTATGTCTCCCGTCACTCACCGACAAGCCTCGTCGGCTGCTGGTCTCGCGGCTGCTGGTTCCCCATATCACTAAAGTGACCTCTCGTCACTCACAAACTAACACGTATAGAGCGAAGGGTGAGTTAACCTCCAGCTCACCCCTCACCACCATCTACCGTACACTCATGAAGTGACTAACCTGACATTGGCATCCTCTATAAATACATACGCTATTCGTCATAAAAAGAGGTTCGGTGTTTCGCAATCAAAAACCCCATAAAAGCTCATGCTACACAGAAAGAAGAACACACTATTCTTCCTTCACCCTACCCAAGTTCACCAACTGACTTGATCATCGGAGGTACCACGGGGGAAACAAGCCCCGTCCTCTTACAATTCTTACGTGTGCAGGTCATTCGTCCGTCCTGAGCTCTAAGAACCAGGCATAAAGTCGAAGTAGGAAGCGGCCCCCTCGACGACTCAACCCCTCGACAACTCAACGACTCCATAACTTCGATTGACTGTGTGATCTCGGACATTAACACTAATATCTTTAAATTAGGAGATAGGAAATTGATAATTAGGAGTTAGTTTTTATCTTTAAATTTAATTATCTATAGTAATTAGTAAAGAGATGAAAAATTATTATCTATTTGCATGCTATAAGTTTAATTTAATAATTTTGATAACACATTTAGCTCATGTGCGAGTTCTCAACTTCCCCATAGCTCATAGAACCAAATCTATCAAAATATGGAAAAGTTAGCATAATAATAATATGATTTAATAACATAAATATATAAAATTTTCACTTACAACCAACAGCGATACAAAACCACTCTAGATCGCTTTTCCTCAGACCTCATAGTGATGAACTTCTTAGCCTTCTTCATCTCAACATGCAACACATTGTATATAACTTTAGCCTAATTATACACATTAAGAGTTTCCAATTTATCAGCATATCTAAATGCAACAAGAACAATTCCAATTACTTTTGGGGGCATAATATGAAGCCTGTTATGAATACCACAAGCATCTATAGCAAAACAGGGTCTTAACATTCAGCCATCTCCTCGATAAGTTTTGCCATCCTATCTCGTCTAGCGCACACAAGCTTCTTCATTCCTTCGTCTAATTTTTTCTTCCCTCTTCTAGCCCTATGTTTCCCGTCATCTTAACTTTCGCCTTTTTCTTGATAGAAGGCACATGTTTATAAATTATCTCATGATCATCACAAAAACTCGTATCTACTATAGCTCCACCCATCAGAAGCCCCGTAATCTGTCGGACATCCTCAGCACGAAAGTCGGTCCACTTTCCTCCAAATTTAAGATTGCTTTAAATTTGATGGAATACTGACTACTTTCATAGCTGTAGCTTCACTCCAAACTCAGTAAAACATAATCCAACTTTAGTATTATATCAATAAAAGTTAAAACAAACAAATAAAAATATGTTAAAATCTATGCCAATGAAAGTGAGAACATTCAAAACCATAACTAATGTCTTAACCAGGGGCGGATCAATATACAGGTGCCCCCCCCCCCCACCCCCAAAAAAAAAAAAATTGTAAAAAAAGATAGGATGATTTCTGTAAAATCTCCTCCCTTAAAAATTAAAATATATTCATTCTCGAATTCCTTTTAGATAGAGAAGTTTTAATTTTAAAAAATTAGATGATGCTTATTTGAATATTTTCTATATTTTTTTTGTCTTCCTCTTTTATTTTGAAAATATTGGCGCTGGCTATTCTACTCGTTTTGTTTGGGTTGTGGTGTGTCACTTGTGAATAAAATTACGTTAAGAAAATTTTTAGTCTATCTTTTGTGCGCGGTCCCCCCAGAACTGAAATCCTAGATCCGACCCTGGTCTTAACCAGCGTCTTAACTAACACTCCTTGCATCTTAGTTGAGTCAATCCATTAAAAGAATTCTACTAAATAGTTGTGACCGTGCCTGTGGAGTCCAGTGAATGCATTTGGCACCGTCGTCAACATACATGTCAAACCTTTTGGAATTTAAAATCCATAATTTGTATAAAGCTTTTGAAATCCACCCATCCCACATGAAAAGGAGAATCTTACAAATCCTTAAATATATTACTTTTTTATTATTTGGGGATTTAATATCCTAAAACTTATTTTGAAACAAACAAGTTTTATGGATTTCTAAAATCGCAAAAAACATCTTTAGATTCCGAGTTGAGATATTCGAGAGCTCAAATCGAAAGTGAAAGGAAATCATGGGTTATATACTTCAGCAATTTCATGGAGACTTCAGGAGATTTGAGTAGGTAGATTGATGGATGCATGAAATGAATGAACAACAGGCTTTTTTCGTAACGGCAGCATACTTCTCAGATAAAATGAGTGGTTCAGAAAAGAGCTTGGGATGAACGAAAGATGCTCTAAAGAGACGTGAAGTTACTCGTCAACAAGCCACCTCGGGTTTAGATCCGATATCATGTCGGTAGGGGTGTGCAACGGTCGGTTCGGTTCGGTTTTTACCAAAATTTGAACAACTGAACTGAACCACCTATAATTCAAAACCGAACCGAACAGTTGCAAGTCGGTTCGGTGCGGTTCGGTTCGGTTTATTCGGTTCTAACTTCATCAAACTTCTTATCAAATAACAAACTGTGTTAAAGAAAAAAAAAAGATATCAACAAAGTAGGAGATTATGAAGCATTAAACATTGATATAATGATATTGTTTTCAACCCATAATGATTCAGAAAATGAGTTTAGAGTTTAAGTCTTTGACTCTTTAGGGACGGGTCAGGTAGGGTTTGAGATCAGAATAGGTAGTATTGCACTATATTCGGTCGGTTCGGGTCGGTTCGGGTTGAAAAGTTTTCAAACCGACCCGAACCGTCATACTCATAAAACCGATTTTCTGGGGTCGGTTCGGTTCGGTTCGGTCGGTTTTTTCGGTTTGGACCGAACCATGCTCAGCCCTGGTTGCTAGGTTCAAATATCCAGCATGCACACCATTAAAGCAAGCAATCAATGTTACTAACGTTCAATCCTCTCATGGGCCAAATCTTAGATTCATAGGACCACATCCAAGATACAATGCTACGACAACTCACAACAACAACAATAAATAAAGAAAAGAATCGTAATAATTTGAACTACAACATCGACAAAAGAGATTCACACTACGGATCAGCAGTTACAGCTGCAAGCAGAAGTTATTTGACTACAGACAGAAATTGCACACAATTCAACATCGTCTAGAAAATATCAAAAAATACTACTCCACAAATAAGTTAATAAATGGCAAGAACAATTAACAGTGAATCGAATTAAGCTAAAAATACGGTGCAACAAATTGAAAGAACAAGGCGATATAATAAACATATGACAAAAATCATATTTACCAGGAATGGATGGACAACAAAAGGAAGAAGAGGATACAAATTGAAAGACCAGGAGATGTTGTTTAATCTCCCAGTCAAAAAACTTCAAAATCTGACCCAAATAAACTTTTCCGATTTATCTGTTATACCTTCCTTTTTTTTTCTTTTTCGTTTTTTCACAAAAAAGAAGAGCCGACTCATATTATTTATATATCGGTATATGGAGATAAACAGAAGGCCATTGGTCTTTCCTTAAATTGCTGCAGTTTTCTTCCATTTCACCAAGGACTTGAGAAATTCCTTAACCTGCGAGCATACAGAATAAGGGTTTTAACAATGGGAGTCAATGAAATTTCATTAACTAATCCAACATATTGACCATAAAATGGGAAAATAGAATATCAAAATCTACCTCAGATGGGTCCTTCAGAGAGTACAAGGCATTGGTTTCTTTTGGTATGGAAGATACTAGTATGCCATAACCTCGGTTACCCTCTCTAAGCACCTGCTTAAATTAGTACATAAACTAATGAGAGAGGTAGAATTACATAAACTAATGAGATAGAATCCCAGAAAGAGAGAAAAATCTCAAATGGGAATAAGGTTTTCTTACCTTGAAAGCATCCTCATCGGTTTTGTCATCACCAACATAGATCGGGAGCACATCATCGCGATTGTTGAGTCCAAGGGATTCAAGCAAAAATTCCACGGCCTTTCCTTTGTTCCAATCGATCACAGGGCGGATTTCTAAAACCTATTAGCCGTATAAAAGAACAATACATAAGGTTCTAGCTTGAAGAAAACACTGCATGATTCACAAACATTTTCTTGTAAACAGATTTTTTTACCTTCCGACCATGTGTCAGTTTCAACTTTGGGTAGCCCTTGAGGATGTCATGAACGATTTCTGCAATTGTTGGCCAAAACTGGAAGTCGCAAAAGGAATTCATGAAAACTTATAGTCAGGCACACATACTATTGTTCTAAATAAACGCTCTATATCAAGTTTGGCATCATTAAAATAGCAATACTTTATAGATTGTACCTCTTCATCTACTAGACGATAATGTACAGAGACACAAAACTTATTGTTCTCCACTTTTGCACCTTTAATATCGTTAGTGCTCACGACAAGGGATCTAAAAACCTGTTTGATGAAAAAGAGTCCACTTTAAGAACCGAATGGGAATGAGGGGTGTATGTTAAGGAATCACATACAATACAATAAAATATTTTTTATACCTCATCGATCATTGGCAAAAACTCACTTGCAGGCTGGAACAGAATTACCTCCTTACCCTACAGTTCAAAATGTAATAGATATTAAGTAAAACAGTGAAATAATCAATTTAACAGGACTCAATTAATCAATTCCAGTTATTTAAGTCATTACTAGAGATATCGACAGTGCACAAGAACACAATCTGAACACTGTTGGTCATATCATATATGATTACAGTTTGGTAATCATAGAAGCAATTCTGAAAAACTAAATGAACTATTGGATACTAATACCTAATATTCACTCTGTACGATGTACATAAAGCACTAGTCGCTTTGAGTGTTCCATGATTTGTAATACTGATCCAGGGCATTAAGGTTAGACAATAAGACTACCTGCTTGTCAGTAGATCTAATGGAATTGGGATTGTCACTATCAAATTCAGACTCTCGTACTGGGCCCATTATGTCCATTCCGTGACTTCCCGCATAATGGAGTTCTGCTAGTCCTACAAATTCACAGACCTAAAAAATACGTGGATGATAACAAGTTCAGAATAGGAGCAACTCAACCAAGCAACACATACTGAGAAGTCAGTCAGCATATGGAGTCAGTACCTTATCCCGGCATCTTCCGCTGATAATAGCTGTTGGAAAATGCTTTGCAACATTCCTCACAGCAGTCCGCATCTGTCAAGAATAATATTTATCAAAATTAGAACTCAAATATTAATAATCACAGTTCAATTTTGTTGCAAGGGTTTGAACAAATGAGAAGGAATATGGTTGTGTTCCCCTACCGCACTAGACATAAAAGCACGGTCCGGATTGTCCACAATAGGTGAAAGTGTTCCATCATAATCAAGAAACAGTGCTATCTTCTTGCCCTTGGCATAAGTTGTGATTTGCTCAAACGATGTAAAGGCAGATGGATACTTCATCTACAATTAACAGTAATCTAGTAAGTTTAAAGTAGTCAAGATCTACTAGAACATAAATGCTCCAGACATTACAAACTACCAGAATTGATGCCTAAGGTAGGTTCTTACCACCCAGTTGCGGTACGCAGATTCTGCTTCATCCAGTTCCGAATCAAAGCTGAAATCCTTATTCAGCTTCTTGCGAGGAGGAGATGAGGATTGCATGGCATCCAACCACCCACTTGCGCGGACATCGTCAAGTTTGCTGGGCTTTCTTCGGGGAATTGTTAAATACATGCCAGAAGAATACCCTGTGGCTGATGCTGAATATGGCACCAAATTAGATGACAAACCCAATCTTGACTTGTTCACAGGCACAGAATCAGCAAGGACAGGGGAATTATGGTTTGGTTTTAAATCCATTTGTTCCAGATTACTATATCACTTAAAACCCCCTTCAAAAGTAGAAAAAGATATAACAGCAGCTTAAAGAGATTCCACTTCGATCGTTTAGTACCCAAATATCTACCCAACTCTTTTGTCAATGAAAAACCACCTCTTTAACGTTTTTTTGTCACTGCAATTGTGCATGCAGTCCATTAAGCGCAGGCTTCCTGAGAACTGATATCAAATGATACTCAGGTGAGATAAATGAGCAAGAAAATAAAACTACACCACATTACAAGATCAGTTGACACGTACCTTCTCATTGCCAACACTAAAAAGCATTTATAGTAGGCGATCGAACATTTATTGCAAATTTCGAATGCAGCCTACTCCTTCAGCAAGAAGCACCAACTTACTGCATCATGTGAAAACAAGAATGAAGTTAAAAGAACATGTCTAGACATGTTGTAAATGCCAAAAATTAGATACTTCAAATTAAGCCCCCCCCCCCCCCAAAAAAAAAAAAAAAAAAAAAACAAACAAAAAAAAACTTTCAGTCTCAAAGGTATTTAAAAAAAGTTTCCCTTAAAGGATCAAGGTGTTAGAAGGACAGACTATCCTATGATGATCCGGATAAAAAAACTCATTATACGATGGACAGAGGAAAAAAATATCACAACTAAAATTAAAACTATAGTTACAATAACAATGACCTTTTATAATTAAGAACATCGGTAATTGATTGTTCAATGATAAAGGCCATATTCTTCATAGAAAAAAAATCATAAATGATAATGTAAAACAGATATGCTAGTGTAAGCTGAATGTACTTCAGATATTGATGGGTGGCAGAGAAATATCTCTGAAGGGAGGAAAGAGGTGGATTCCCGATCTTGCTGTCAGAAGAACTAAATGTAACTGCTCTAGAAAAGGATTTGTCTCTACAAACAAAAGAAAGGAGAAATATATAACGTACTTCTACAGAGCTGAAAAGACGTGTCAACTGTGTAGACAAGGATAAGACAGAGAAAAAAGTTTTCTGTACTTGAAAATAAAAGAAAATAAAGTATTCACTAAGGGGGAGTTTGGTTCAATTTCTATAAATTATAGGAAAAGGAAAACACCCAAAATATAGATTTCCTTGTATTTCTATAAAATTTGTAGGAAAATTTTATAGAACTCAAAAAAGTATCGTCTTTCTTATTTTTTGCTATTTCTTTGTATAGTTCAAAATATGAAAAAAAAATCCTAACTTTATAGAAAATATGTTATTTACTTTTTCTTTTGTTTAGCTAGGTATCACTTTATACAAAATAGCTTACTAACAATGCCCATGAGAAATCACATGGGAACGGTACTGATATACTTAATTAATTTTTATACGTCAGATTTTCTGAAGTTTTCCGCCCATTTTTAGTGAAAAACAATTTCTATAAAATTGTATAGATTTCTGTACTTTACAGAAAACTTTTCTGTAAATTCAATGTTGAACCAAACACAGTTTATGAAAATCTACAAAAATCTATTATTTACGATAACGTCATTGTCAGGTGATTTTTCAAAACTTTTCCATAAAATAGGTGAACCAAACACCCCCTAAAATTTCAATGACCCTTTTCCACAAATAGGTGATAATTCCTCTCAATATGTTGAGATAATTCCTTGCACTTACTATGGGTAACTGTTTTTACTCAAGTCTAGATTCAGGCTATCACCATGTTTAAATTGATGAATCTCAAGTTAGAAGCAAGGTTGTGAGGTATTAGCTAAATTCATTTCACAGTGAACCAAATAACAATTAGATATTGCAAATCTCAGAAAGCGGAAATATATTAGCTTCAACCTGAGGTTATTCAAATACAAACATTTATTAACAAACTCATTAACCTCAATATGCCCTTCCTAAAAAGTCAAAGCACATCTACTCGCTTCTTTTACATGGTAACATTTACATATCCATCAAAACATTACGTTCTTCAAAGCTGAAAGTTAAATACTTACACAACAGCAATCAAAATGATCAAAATAATTAAAAAAAAGCCAGTAAATCTAATAAGCAAACAATTGAACAGAACTTAACATGAGAAAACATGACGCTAGCCATTTTTGGAACTATCCTAACAATACATTATCTTCTTTGTGATGATAAGGATTATATATAGCATACAAGTTGTCTGCAACTCATTTAATTGGGGAACATGACTCAGATACACATCATAACAAATTATCAATTTTTTTTTGGGACAAAACTTGAGAAATAAAAGTGATATATAACATGCAATAACTAAGCGGATCATTGAAAAGATTTCATATACATCATCACAACAGATTTCCCGGCTAATTTATATGCTAGTTCATTAATAAATTAAAGTTCTTTAAAAATATTCCGCTAGAGATGGGGAAAATAACTATTCAAAGATTACCCAGGGTCCCAAAGGTATTTGTTAAATAAAAAAAAAATTATTTAGGCTCGTAACCTGCCATACCAAAAGCGATATATCACATGCAATGCCTAGACAGATCACATAAAGTTTTTATATACGTATACATCAATAAAAAAACATCTATTTATATAATTCCATATAAATCGAAATCTTTTCTATAAAAAACAAGTAGATAGAGATGTTAATGATAATCTTATTATTCCGGGAGGGAAAAAAACAAGAATTTATGAGGGATCGCACACAACGCATAAATAAATAAGAAACAACTTAAAGATATATCACATCAAATAACATCAGTAAAAGAGAGTACGGTAGATAAAGGATACTACAGAAAGTAAACTTTACTGAAAAGAGAAATTAAAAAAAAAGGGCCGTGCACGAAAGGTAAACAAGAAATAAATGAGAGACCTCACATCAAAATATCACGAGAATTTTTTACTAATAAAGCAAAACAAAAGTAGAGAGCTTTTTAGAAACAACTTTATTAGGGTCCATTAATGGGAACACCGCAAACAATACTTTAAATAATAATAATAATAATAATAGTAATAAATTATCTGTCACCACTGTTACTGATTCACCAACCCCCTTTCGTTCCAAAGAGACAGTATGAAGATTGTGGGGGCTCCCCAACATTTTGTCCCCATTTTAATTTTTCTACAGTAGTATAACTCAAATCAAACTACATAAAGAAACCGCCTTTTTCTACTCTAGCACCCTCCCACTACAAACAAAACGTCTTCTAAACCCAAGTCAAACGCTGGATCTATCGTCAAGGACCGTGTCCCCATTTCATTTTTTTTTCTTGCTGTAGATATTAAAAAAAAGATAACAAAAAAAATAAAGAAACACCGCCATCACATTTCCCACTGTAAATTAAAAAACCACCAAAATTCACGGCTCGTCGACCCAGCAAGAGTCTACAGCACCTTACCATTTGATGACAAACATCGAAATTGTTTTAAAAATATAATCACAGATTCGTCGTTCAAATGAAAAAAAATTACCTAAAAAAAAAGGAAATCTTGACAGCATTGCAGATAAACGAACAGCTTGCTGATTACCTGAATAAGGATGACTCGCGCCGCAATGCAGAAGAGAGGCGATAGGAAACCCAAGAGATTGAGGGATTCGCAAGGATCGCAACAAACCCTAGAAAAATCAAGGGAAATTTTTTGAGGCGAGAGGGAGAAGAGAAAGGAGGCCCCTTGCTCGCCCGTATTTATAGCGTTTTGTTTGGTAGCCAGCCGAGCCTCTCTTTATTTGGGACCACCGATCATTACTTTATTTATTTATTTATTTAATGGCTCAATTAGTTAATTATGACCTTGTTTAGCGGGCGGCCTCCGAATACAAATAATAACGGAAAGCTCAACTACCTTCTAAAACTGCCCGCCTTGCCAACCGCCAACCTTGACTTGATATCTCGACCATCCCACGTGTCCTACGACTACTAGTGGGTCTTGCATGAATTTGAGGAGATTGTTTTTTGCTTTCCATTACGGAAAGTTACGGTGTACGTGGGGAAAACGCGGGATTGTTAAACCGCGGGGAACGGGCGCGTGTCGGTAACCGGCAACCTGACACCTGCAACTGTGTTCAGGCCTCGCGAACCGCCACGTGGCATAGGGCCATCACCTTGCCACGTGTCATAGGGCCATCTACCTTGCCACGTAACTGTGGGGCCCGCCCCCATAGAGGGTGCGCTGTGGGTGCGACGGGATCGGGATGACGTAAGCAGCTGATTCAGCTTCCCTGGAGTCACGTGCGGAACAGATGCGGGGGCTTCATGGGGCCGGCTGACTTGGCGTGTGGCAGCCAGTGAGTCACGAGAGGCGAAACGCGTGTTTTCATGGGCTTCTAGAGATGGATGGGTCCCACGTACTCGGTGAGGGTGTGTGTATACAGTGCACCGGGCTGGAGGCTTTCCCGTGGGCGTTTTTTCGCCTTCACTTTTTTTTTATTATGGTTAATTTCATTTGACCCCCTGTTTTTGGTCACTGATTGTAGAAGGACCTTTATTTCTAACTGACTTTAGGATAGAAAACTCTACATTTGGTGAATTTGGCGTGCTCAAAAAGGCTTACAACATAATATTTGAATAATACATAATAAAATTGCTAAATATCGTGTTTCGACGGTTATGTCAGGGGGTTGAAAAAATCAGCAGTTCTTTTAGCTTGAAAATTAAATTACATACATAATACACTTGGATCAAACAATTTGCAGCGCGCGCGTTTAATCTGTCATAAACTGAAAAACTTATTGGTTTGTATCAGAAGGATCAAATATCAGAGAAACTGTGCCAAATTACATGTACATCATTGCACAATTATGTTCGTGCGTGTATTTCTCAAAAAGTTATCATGTGGTCGGCTTTGAATCTCAACTTTATTGACCATCTCTTGAATTTTGAAGGAGTTTGGAAACTCTAAGACTTATTAAGAAATTGGAGTCTGAAATTGGGGGTTAGGCCAAAATGTACCTTTTCCTTCTCTAGAAGGAGAAAGGGAGGGAAGACCAACAAACAACACTACAAAGACATTGGCCACCAAACTCTTCCCCTCGTGATTCTAAAGCCTAAACTTTTACTTTGTATTCATTTGGATTCCCATATTTAAAACATATATATAATATTTGAAAATTAGCCACCCACATCTCGTGGTGCGAAAGTAAATATTTTTAAAAACGGAGAGCTACCGTAAGTCAAAGTTCATGCGAGAAGCCTATGGTTAAGGTAATTTGGTCGGTGGACTTTTTGTTACCGTGGCAGCTTTTTAATGAGATTTCTTGTGAAGAAATGGGGGGGCCACAAGCAACAAGTAGAAATTGCTATTAAACTTACAATTAATCTTTCTTCCTCCTCTCAATTTCAATAAAATTAAATTTCAACGGGAGAAACCTTGGGCTAATAAATCGCTTTTAAAATAGTGGGGTACGTGGTAGGAAGATTTGGGTCAAGTCAAACCTTGGGAGGTCTCCAAGCTGGATACACGTGCAAAAGACAAAGAAATAAATACTATTAGGTGTCCATTAATTAATTACTAGTGGGGAAATTTAATGTTAATTTGGCGATGCACTAGTCTAACCTCCGATTGGTTGGCGGGATGACGAGTTACATCGGTTTTAGCCATGATTAATATAAGGGTTACTTCTGCTATTACCGCGGTTATTATTATTATCATTATTTTAACATTAATGTCTCAGGGATCTAAATTGGGGACCAAGTCATGTGACATGTGAGGTATCACCATCCGGTTACATGATGCAGTGTATTATACAACCGGATGGTGACACCTTACATGTCTCATGTCTTGGGTCTCCTATTTGGGTCCTTATAACAACACTCTTCTTTTAAAGCGATATCAATTTTAGCCTTTATTTTATTGATAAGTATTTATTATCTTGATAGTAAATATTATTAGGTAGGCGTTAACTAATTAATTATTAATGAGGAAATTGAGGGTGATGAGAATGCGGTAAAAAGAATAGTTGGGTCAACCTTCGGGAACACCGAACACTCCAAGCTGTACACACGTACAATAACAAAGAAGTAAAAACTATTACGTGTTAGG